AGCGTTTTGATGCAAACTTAGGTATGGAACACCTGATGTGTGTGTGTGTGTGTGTGTGTGCGTACTTGGGTCAATGTCGATGAGAAAAATAACCTTTTGCATTCAATTTATACGATAAACGTCTCGTAGACAAGCTAACAATTTTACCATGCTCAAACGAACCATTCATACGGATAGGAATGAACGAGATTGAGAAAACATGAAAAATGATGCAACACACACAAACTCGAAACCACAATTCGACTCGCCAGAAATATACAAAGCCAAAGTGTGAGAAATAAAGAAGCATTAGGATTTTTTTTCGCTCGACGAATAAGAAGATTAGATCGACAGGGAGCGAAAGCGACGGGCGAAGAGATTTTTAAACCTCAAATAACATTGGCCGTGCCAACCAAGTGAACGACTTCATAGCAACCATTTATTTTCAACACAATTTTTGCACATTTTAACAACAGAGCGAAAAATGTGCTTCTTTTTTGTATTAATACTTTAACTACACGAAATGACGAAATGTGGCTACTTCTCGATTCGACAGTATTTTAAGCATATTGATTTACACGTGTCGCATACATCATTTCAAATACTTTATTAAACGTATAAATACATAAATTAAAATCTCAAATAAATTTTAATAGAAATGTACTTCGCAACACCTATACAAAAGAAGATCCTTGTAAATTGAATTAACACATGAACGCTTCAATGGAATGCATTTTTCAATTCTGAAAAGAGCATAATTGAGTGAAAAGAACGTAAAAGCTCCCTTTTTCGAAGAAATCAATGTTCTTTTACTTGGAAATAAGAAATATTCATCATTTATTCTACTTTACTGAGAAATATTTTCAAGATTCCAAAAGAATTTATAGTATTTTTGAAAGAAAAAAAGAGTCGAAAAAGCAAGTACATGAAGCAAAGCTATTTTCAATATATTTTCTTGTCAGTCGTCGATTTTATGCAATTTTGGAACTAGTGAATCCCGATACTTCAACAGCGATTGAGAGTAATGATGTGAATACGTTTCGCTGTAGAATGAACAAATTATGCAGTATTTCATGTTCTTACCTTACAATGTGTGTATTTCATCAAATGAATGAAACTCAAGAAAAGAAAGGAATGTAAAAAGAGGACGTTAAAACCGGCATAGTTCTGTCAATCTTCTTACATTATTTGTCTTCGTTACTATCAAATTCTGTGTGAATCTCTATTATGTAAGAGAATATTCAACAAGACAATTTCAATCAGTCGTTTCTTTGCATAAGTGAATCGCATCTCTGTGAATTGCATAAAAGAAGCAGCTTCTCAGAAGTTTTGTGTAAATTTTTACATTGCAAATGCGATGCTGTAGCGATGAAATTGTCTCTTTCGTTCACTTCGTGCGCTGTTGTAGAATAAATGGAATTTTCAAAGATCACATCACTCTAAAAAATAAAAGTGAGCACGTTTCTGCTTAAGTTTGCGTATATTCAAATGAGCTGCATCAAAATGTATTTTTCTAATGTATGTTATTTTCTTGCCAGAGAGAAAAAACACGCACAGTAAAGAGTTATTATTTACAACATCAATTCGATGATCATCAAAAAGTGTGTCATATTGGAATTTTGATGTCATTTACAATATAGTATAAACCATCTGTCGATCATGTGTTTGTTTATGTGCCAAGAAAGCAATCAGTGTGAAACATTTAAACGTTTCATGTGTGTTTTGAATCACTTTCAAATTGTATATGTATATCGCTATTTCACGTCTCTATTGAACTGTTTTCGTAAAAACCACAAGATTCATTGGCTCATTTTACATATTTGTTATGGGGCATCACGTCAAAATCTAAAGAAATATTTGAGTCAACAAAATGCTTTTTAAATGCCAACCACAAGCAACATCGGGGTATTTTGGCTAAATATAAATCGATTTACAAATTATCGAACGCCGACAAATATTTACAGAACATTAATGAGAACATTTTTAAAATGTACATGAAAACGTCGCCGGCACCGTGTGTGCGCAATAAATTTGTTTTTTTTTTTTCAGTAAACAGATCTGGTTTGAATTCTTTTTGGTCACATCACCACCTTTTCTTAAATATTTTATACACAAAACAAAAACAATCAATCACAATTTAAGGCATATTAAAAGCAATGATGTGTTGGCATTGTTAAATTTATTGTCGAACAAAATCGAAGCTAAAAAAAAAACTATGAGATGCATTTTGAAGAGTTAATTCCGATGCTAAACCGCCCATTCGCTCATAAAACCAACAATAGGGAATTAATTGGGTTGTATAAATCAAATGACGAGTTGTCTGAAGATTTTGACGCTCATTCGATGTACTTTCACATATTGAACAATATTTGAGGTGCGCCGTCAAATCTCTATACTCTTTATAATCGAGCGAGACGATCGGCTTATGAACGTCGCCGTTGTCAAAATTGTGTGGGTTGATAAAAATGATTGTCGGTAACCATGTATAGTCATGCCATACATTTGTTTTTGTTTATTGTCAATGCATTTACAGTTTACACACACATTCATTGGCAATGAACCGTTGCCATAAATATGAAAGTGTATACCAAAGACTGAAGTTCAACCGAATTCACACTAACCGCAACAAACATCGTTGCGATTTATTTCACGTGGTCGTTTTTCGTCTTCTCGCAAATTGTTTTATGACATTGTAACGAAAAATTCCGGGCATTACTGTGGTTATCGCATTTTTTTTAATGGAATTTTTACTTTTTTTCTTGCGTCAAATATATTGCCCAGTATTATATTCTACATTCTATAAATGTTTTACTCGATACTTTCAAAGTCATTTGTTTGCGATACTTAAATTTAACAAAAAAAAGAACTCCAAATTGTTGAAGTAAAGAACCGACACGAAAACCTGGAAATTTCACTGGCGATTGGTTTAACCAACTTGGTTATAGAAGGGCTAAAACTCACTCATAAAACTTGAATAATCATTGTTTCGCTGCAATCGTTTGCAAATGAGCGTATCAAATTTTTTACATGCACTCTTTCAAATATTGAATGAGAAATGTTGTCGTTTCATCAATGACAAGTGTACGTTGTTCTTGCAAATAAATTGGCCGCAAAAAAAAATATCAGTTCGTTTAATGTTTTTCCTTTTTTTGTTTAGAGTTCAAAGATAAATAGCCAGCGGTGTGGTAACCAACAAGTATCAAACAAAACAAGGCGAATGGGTTAGATTTTTTTTCATTCACAAAATTAGTTGTTTTGAGTTTCTGATTACAAACCAAGTTACAAAAGAATCAACATGCAAAAAAGGGAAAGAGAATCAGCGTTGAACACAATATTGACATGGAAAATAATGTTGAGACTGTGGAGAGAGGAAAAAAACAGCTGTCTTTTACCGTATATGTATATATTGACCCATTACTACTCACCATTTCACTGCGATGCGAATACATTTCATCCGAAAAATGAAAACATTTGAAAAACAAGCAAAGTGAATAAATTGTCCGAATGCTTGCTGCTACAGATATTACATTTCATAAAAGTTGATCAAACTGCATCTAATTTTGTGTGCCGTTTTACAATCGAGATAGTGCGAGCGAGACGAAATTAAAAAGCGAGAGAAAGAGAGGGTGAGGTACGGTTGGGTGAGCTCATAAAGAAAGAAAACGCACAGCAGCAAGCTTATTTCATTATTCAATGATTAACGCAGTGTTCATATACTCGACAGCTTTTGCATTTTACCAAATCAAACAAGTTCCGAAAAAAATATGAAAGATATTTCGTTCCATTGATGCTGACGCTGCTGCAAGCACATTCAATGTTTACTTATTCTCGGTTTTATGTTATCAAAACGGCTAAGGTGGGGGGAGGGCTGAAAACGAGAAAGATGGGGTATTGGCTGCATTTGAAATGTATACTTTTCAACTTTATTAATTCATATGTATATGATTTCATTTCTATTTTTGCAAAACTTTACCATATAAACATGGCATCAAATCAAAGATTGAGTGGTGAAAGGTAAGCAATTTTTGATGAACTGATTGAAACATTCGTCCAAGTTTCCATTTGAAAATTGCATTAGAAAAAGTTCGAGAGCGCGTTGGAACAACAATGTAACATACTGTTTTTGTGTAACGAACCAAAGTCCCTTCAAAAGTGGAAGTTCATATGCATTTTACATTGTAATCGACTTTACATTCGATTCTAAAAAGAAAACGTTTTTTTTTCGTTCTTTTTCTTTGACAAAGTTTATCCGTTCGTGCAACATGAAATAAGAGTTTTTGGTTTTTGCATTGCATGTTGATTGTTTGATATTTCTTTTGCCACTCAATTTTCCCGCTTAAAATTACCATCAAATCCAGATGAAACACGAAAAAAGCGGTAAGCGCATAATCCAACGGTTCGACATTTTAAAGAGAAAAGTTTTCATTCTTTATGTTACTGTTACAACGATGCATTTCAGCTGCAAGTTTTGGTGTGTTTTTTTTCTCTCACTTGCATCTAAGAGCTTATACTTTTTCCACACATTATTGGCACAATTTTTCTCATTCAAGCGACCACTTTCTCTTCTCGTCTCTGCAGAGTGTGTGTTACATTTTATTCAGGCGAATCGATTGTTGTGCGCCTTGTGTTTGATGCGCGCGTTTCACAATGTTGTTGTTTTCTTTTTGTTTATGGATTTCATGCTGTGTGCGCCTCCAACAGTAATCGGAAGCGGCATTTGCGTTGCGACTGAACGTGTGCCGCGTACAATACACAGTTGCGCCGCCAACCAGCGACACCGAATTATCACACACGAAAAGTCTCTTTCTCGATGTATGTGTTCATAACTATGCAGCCCGACAAATTCGGTATGTTTGCGTGAATCATGTTCGCCATTCAGTCTTAAATGTTACGTTCTTGTGTACACCACGTGCACGGTCTCATCGATAAATATATCCACAATTCATTCATAGATAAATATTGAGTTTACAGTTCAGTTTTTTGTTGTGTGTTTCTTTTTTTCATTGTCGTCGGTCTCTATCTCTCTATAAGCTATTCAAATTGTTGTTGTTGAATGTTCAACGGATATTCAAGATTATCCAGTTAAACAGCCTCAACAATAGCTACAGTTTCATATTATTATATTTTGAAATTCAAGTGGAAAAATTTCATACGCACTGCATCTGTGCAGAAAAGCAAGTGCAGTAAAAAAAAGAAAAAATATTGGTGAATTTTAATCGGAAGCAAAAGTGATTCGAAACCGTGAAGTTTCATGTGAAGTGTGAGGAAATTGAATTTTTTTCTGCAGAAAAAAAAAGAGAAATTCTTTTTCGAAAAAAGGCAGTACGGTGGAGGAGGACCGTACACTTTTTTGGTCAAAAATTCAAGTTTCAGGTTAATAATTTTTTTAAACGAAGTTCTTTTTGCTCCATTTTTTTCACTTTGTTCTCAACGTTTTCATTCTCGTATTTCTCTGTGCCATCTGAAATTGGTGTGTATGAATTTAAAATTGGTTTTCTCGACAAAATGTTTTTCACACGTTCGAAGTTTCGCCGAAGAGATCCGAAAAAACCGAAAATTAATCCAACCATTGTTGTTTGCTCCGACGATCTTTTATTATTGGATTTGGTTGAACAGTTTATTGGTGTTTGTTGTTGTTCAGTGTTAACACTAGCATACGAAGATGCGAATGTTGTGATAACAACAAATCAAAAAACCCTGCCGATTGATTCGAAAAAGAGCGAAAAACATTGCACGCAAAAACAAACCGAGAGAAAAACAAAACGCGTGAAAAGTGATTGATGGAAAAGGGTAAATTGGAAATGTTTTTTTTTTCTGTTTTGAAAGCGACGTTCATCGGTTAGACTGATAAGAAATCCCGGGGGTCATACAAGACGGAATGTGTAAACTGATGAAAGCTTGAGATTCGTTTTTTTTAAGTTAAATCTTGTGACCTCTTTCTTAATGACAATAAAATCATTGCCAAAAAAGCAAATAAAACTATAGAAAACTGTAACTAGTGTGCAAACATTGGTATAAAATAAAAAAATGTGAAAAAAGAAGAACATTTCACATCAAAAATAAACGCCGACCGAATCTTTTCGATTGATAACTTATGTGTGGGTTTTATTGTTTCATATTTCGCGAATAATCTTCGTCTTGATGTTTTGTATCATTTTGTGCATGATACAAACCACGTACACTTGCCGAACAGAAAGAATATCTAAAGCGTGTCAAGTGATGGAAAAAAAAAATTCAACGACAGGTTTTTATCTCGAGAATTTTTTTTTGTATCTCACTGAAATCCAGAAGCATTTTTCTAAGTGTGTGTATTTGAATAAAATGTCACAGAGTAAATGTTGATTTTTTTCGGGTTTTAAATCTCCATTTTAATCGGTTAGCCGCGTCATGTTATTTAAATAAGTGTGTACACAAAATATTCATTAAATTCGTATGACAACCACATTTTGCGACCTGATAATGAAAAAGTACACTACTATTGTTTAATGCGATTTAAATTTTGCAAACCGAAAAATCGGAAATAATTGAAATCATTATGTACAGTGTACATTGTTGGCAGAGGAAAAAGAGCCACGAAATAATTGTGTGACGAAAAATGTGGTGACACTCGAAAATTGAGCCAAAAGCCCATTGAACCATTTCGAATGAACCCGAGCGAAGGTACAGAACAAAAAATATATGGTTTTTAATGCCAAACAAACAATCACCGCATTAGTTGTTGTGTTTTAATTGATAGCGATGAAAAATTCGCACATTTCAATAATGGCTTAAATATTGTTTCGCGTGCGCGACAAAGAATTGATGTAATTTTGAGGAAAATAGACTGTATAATTGGAAGCTTTGTTATGGACGTCATCGACACCGTTAAAAGAACAACAAAAAAGGAAACTGAATTGTCACAATATTTTATATTAACAATAAATCAGCTGTAAATTATTCACAGCGTTCCGAAACAAATACCAATATTAAAATGACCAAAAGTGAACCGAGTTTTTTGCGACTCATCAAAATTCCAACAATTTGAATGTACAAAACAATGTGAAGTAAGTTTGAAATGATATTGCGCAACGTGATGAGCCGAAAAGAACTCAGTGACACACACAATTGAATACATATTTTAATAAGCATTTTTATTTCCGATTTCTCACCTATAAAACTGACTTCTCTCACCTCTATCAAACACACGAATCTCGCGATATTTACGTCAAGCACATTTCGTATCCTCGTGATCAAACCATCAAAACCAAACACTGTATAATATTAACACAAACACATCGTATCAACTTTGTCACCGACATCGAATGGAAATCTTCAAAAAAGACTAACATTTCAGAGTACCCGCGAAATCATTAAAACCATTTTTATTCATTTTCGTCATCATTTTGCAATTGCCTTTTTTTTATTGTAGAACGAACGATACGAAAACAATCGTACTAAAACCAAAATAAAGTGAAGTGACTGTGAGTGTATGAGAAAGAAAATAAAAATAAAAATCGTGGTGTCGGTAAACAACAGGCTCAGAAGTAAAAAATTAATATAAAAAGTCGAACAAATGAACGCTAGCATTCATTGTATAAATGACATCCATTTTAATAAATAAAAAAAATACAGTCATTCGAAATATTGTATAGCAATATACATATTCATACACACCGACCAATTGGCTTCGCTTACAGAGAAATGAGAACGAACACACAATATGATGAACAGAGCTTCGTAGTTGAATAAGAAATATATATTATATCAGAATTTAATTTATTTTTGGCAAATGAACAAAAATGCGAACAGCGAGCACAATATAAAGTGTGTTCGCCCAGACTCTCAACTCTTTTCATAATAGACAACCATCGTCGCATCCATCTGAAAACATATTGTCTCTGTCCGTTTAAAAAAAAATGTTTTTGCTCGTAACAAAAACGACACGAAACAAACGACCAACGGACGATTATGGACACGAAACGAAGAGAAGGAGTAAATGTTGAACGAAGTACATGATTAGACAATATTATATTGTCATATTTCATGTGGTTGAAAGACCGAGCATCTCGATCTGAACGAAAAAACGAGGAAAGAAAGAAGCCTCTCCAATCCAATATCGCATGAATTACATACATAAAATTTACATGAGAAAAATTTTTGCTGTCACATATATTTTGCGCGCGTGTGTGCCACTTTTGACAGTCCAATTTTCTCAAAGTGTAGAGCAACGGAAAAAGAAGCCCCATTGTTCGATCGAAACGACTATAACATCTGCTATACATATATACTGATGGGCTTGAGTGCACACATTAGTGCAAAAATCGTATCTATTTTCCATTTTTTATTCAATGCATTTATTGCTGGATAATCTGGCAAATATTTCAGGCATTTTATGACTCTACCAAAAAAACGCACGTTCTGTTTACAACACTAAATACGACTACAATTCCTGTCTAATCAATGTGAGTCACGTAACGGGTAACATAATGAGACCTAATGCATGAGTGTGTATCACAAAGCAACGAATGCAAAAAAACAATTTCAGACTGTGACTAAAGCTCGACATTATTTTTTTTTGGCACACAAATATTTGCATGTTCAAAGAAAAGGGGAAAAATGTGACACATGATCTGCCTGAAGCACATGCTCACTTTGGCTAATTAGACGAGATGTTTCGAAAGGAATCATCGTGGGATGATACACGTTTGCCTTCGTTATTTTGGTTTGATTTAATTCACTTAAACACTTAACGAATTCGCTGATTACATTGAATCTTTCGATTGTTGACTTTATCATCAGTTACACCATAGTTCCGGGTTAGCGCCACAGATTTGAGTTTCATTGAACGAAAATTCAACGAATTTTATAGTCAAGGAAACGTTATCATTGTTATAAATCGTATCTTAATTCGTTTTTCAATGCCTTCTCTCTCTCTGACTCTGATCCCACTGTCTATCTCGCTCTCTTTCACTTTCTTTATCTATTTTTGAAAAATATCTAACTGTGACAGTTGATGATAAACGACCAATTTAAATCGTTAAATCATGTTTAAAAACTCTCTTGTTTGAATAAGTAAACGTCGCAACGAAAATGCAATGGAGCCGAACCAAAATGTTACGCAATCCTATCACACAAAAGAGAATGCGAAAGAAAACGTCAAATGTGACGTCACTAAGTTTTAATCAAGCATACTCTGTGGATGTGGTTGTGTTTAGCTGGCGGCAATCTCACACCATGTCACAAAGACGACAGAAAAAAACAAATCATCATTTTGCATGAGATAAGTGTTCAGCAGCCGGTTTGCCTTTTTCCATTTGGATAGGTTAGTGATGTCGCGCATTACAGTCACGTGCTTATCCATCATAAATCGTCATAGACTTCGAATTGCGTATTTGACATAGTGATTTTTTGTTGCTATTTACATTGAATTTTTCACTTTATTATTTTTCAGTTAGTCGCCTTTTTGTTTGCCAATCGGATTTTCGTTTTGGAACATTATAATTAGACCGTAATTTCATTGGGTTTTATCTCGATTTTTTCTTTTTGCGATGCATTTTGAATAAGCGATAAAATGCGATGCTATTATTATAGTATATCGTTTTACGTATGCAAGCCCATAAAAATAATATGAAAATAAATGTAATTGCGTTGTGTGTGTAACCCGTGCAATTAAGCGTTATTATTTTTTGTATAAATGACTTCATACAATGAGAATGTGTGGTCGATGAACGGAACTGACAAATAAAAAAAGAATTATATCGTTCAACTTAGAGAATGCAATCAGAGACAATGCAAACACACGACGATAAAAACAAAGTATTTTATTGCAAACAAATCACGAGGGATTTAGTCATTTTTGAACATTTCGGTATTACATTTCACGACAAACATTTCACACATTTTGACTGAAAATAGAACGCGCACATGGTGTGTTGAAAACTTAAAGTCATCAATCTGTTTTAGTTTTTTACCGTATCATTCGCATGTGTGACACAACATTGGAATTTCAAATTTTGCATGTGACTATTTGTCATTCATTTCTTCTATTCAGAGCAATTCCAGAAAACGACATATTCATCACCAATTTCCTCATGTGTATCATTATCACCCCATGTCAAACGTTGACGCATTTCTATTATACCTGGACATTTTCTAAAACACTTCAATTAAATATGGTGAACAGTTGGTTTTACGTAAAAAAAAAGAATTATATTGTGTTTTTTACACCATTCTGTAATGCTAACAAAAAAAAGTTGTCACTTGACACTTTTATACTGTGTACCTTCAATTCTCAGAAATTGCCATCTGTTTATTGTATTCACAATATAAATAATAATTAAAACTTTTCATCGTCATTCACTTTGCAAACATTTAACAACTTTTTTTCTCTCTCG